GATAAATACCAACGTGTGGCCTATCAAAGCTTTGCCACAATTTCTTCGCAATACTGATTACAGGGAACATTTTGATAAAGGTGCATCCCCGGCCAATTAAATGATGCTCATTAGAAGCTGTGTAGGGAGCCACAAGCAAATGTTACTAAAGGATTCTGAGAGCTTAATGTGCTTAAGGTTGTTTATAGATTTCACTATAATATATATTTCACTATAACTGTGAAAATGTAGCGCCTCTATGGCAAAATGGAAAAAAAAGGTTCCAGCTTGTGTGTGCAGAAACTGAATGTTACCCAGGTGACTTATAGCAGGTTCAACGATCTAGTGACTGCAATAATGAAAGCCAGATCTATCAAATATGAGAGATGGCCATTTCTAGATAGCCGAGATCTACGCACTGACCCAGGGGTAGCCAAACTCTGGCCCCCCAGCTGTGGTGAAACTCCAAATCCCATGATGCATCTCTCTCCGGGAGTCATGTCTGGCTGTGAGAATCTTGCAATTCCCACATGGGATTTGTAGTTCGACCACAGCTGGAGGGACGGAGTTTGGCTATCCCTGCACTGACCGTTTCAGCAAAGGACAAGGCTGATTTAACAAGTATATTAGCCCACATCAACCAATCAGAAATAACTGTTTTAATTGTAAAGAATTGTTCTGATTAGCTGCTATGGCTTACTGTTTTGTTTTCAGATCCCCATTATTCTTTACACAGGGACACTGTATAAGCTCATACTAGCAACCTGCCTTTTTGATCTAGATCATAAAATGAGCAAGTGTAAATAGGGTAGTTTCTTCCCGTGTCTACAAGCCTTTACCAAGTTATATTTACCACCAGATGAATGGAACTTGGTCAATTGAAACCTATTGTGTACATGGGCGTTTTCAGCCACTGTTGTAAATAAGGCAATATTAAGTGGAAATTACATAAATGTATCATGGAGTTCAATTACCCAAGAACATCTATTGCTGAATTCCCCGCATGAGATAATAAAGCCACTTGTGGATAAATTTAGCTCTAAAACTGAAGGGAGTTGCTGAGAGGAGTCATGAGTCTCTTGGGACATGCATGGCCTAGATGCTTAACCTTCCACAAAGGGTCATGGTACACTGCAGTCGCTTTGATTTTCCAGTATGCAAGTCTATTCCATGTATAGTACAAATAGATACAAAAAGAATGCCAGAGCCAACTTGGACAGTAAAATATACATACTATGGAGCTTTTTTAATAACACAAAAATGTACCTTGTAACAACCAGTGGATAACTGTAGCTTATGCATTAGAATTGAGAACATAAAACCCATCACTTTAGTGGTTGCTAGGGTATACATCAAGCACCATGCTTTTAAATTAACACCTGATTGGAAAACTGTGACCAGAAAAGCAGCAATTGACTAAGCCACTGCTGCTGATTCTATTATGACATCTGGCTTGAACAAATGTACCTTATTTAAAGCTGAACTCCAGGCAGATATAGAACACAGATTATTGCATTCCTGTATTCATGAACACATTCTTAAATGTATTTTTTAATGCAAGCAGTGTAAGTACCTGAAATGGACTTGGCATCAGCCTCTTGCAATCACTGTAGAGCAGAGCACGTACTAGGGGGACCACCACAAGGAGCCAATTCGTTGTGCAGTTCAAAGAGTCAGGTGGTTAAGGAGGAGAGAGCAGAGAGATGGCTTCATCAGTCTGCTGCTTCTCTTTTCACTGTCCACTCACATGCTGGGGGTGGGAAGGAGGGCTGTAACTGTTACTTAACAGCAGTAAAGAAAAATAAAAAGAAGTCCTGTCCTATCCAGCAGAGCTGTGTGTGGTTTGGCAGAACTTTTTAACTTTAAGAAATTAATGGACAGAATTACATATCCCTTGGCAGGTAAATC